TTTAATCCTCACAACAACCATGGGAGGTAGGTGCTGTTACTATCCCCATTTTACAGTTGAGGAAACTGAGACAAAAAAAGACTGACTTGCCCAAAGTCACACAGCTAGTAAGTATCTGTGGCCACATTTGAACTCAGGTCTCCCTGATGCCAGGGCCAGCATTCTATCCACTGAGCACAGCCTCTAATACCCCTCTTTTTGTACCTCAGTTGAAAATTTATAGAATCATAGGGTTTAGATCTAGAGAAGGAAACTTAAAGATACTTAGAGAGTTCGCTTTTTTCTCCAAACAGGCTATTCCTATCCCTAAAAAGAGTCTGAAAAGTACAATTTCCCAGCTAAGCTGTGGACTTTAGAAGTTATACCCCTGGCCTCCTCCCTCAAGGTGCATAATAGCTTCCCTACTCAGCCTGGTAGGTGTTTTCCCAGGTACCTGTACGGTAAACAAAGACAGGACAGTCCAGTAATAGCAATTCTAGGGCTATATCCCAAAGAGATCAAACAAATGGGAAAAGGACCTACATGTACAAAAATATTCATAGCAGCTCTTTTTGTGGTGGCAAAGAATTGGAAATTGAGACGATGCCCATCAACTGGGGAATGGCTGAGCAAGTTGTGGTATATGAATGTAATGGAATACTATTGTGCTATAAGAAATGATGAACAGGCTGACTTCAGAAAAACCCGGAAAGACTTATATGGTCTGATGCTGAGTGAAGTGAGCAGAACCAAGAGGACTTTGTACACAATAACAGCCACGTTATGCAATGACTAATATTGTTAAACTGAACCCTTATCAGCATTACCAGGATCTAAGACATCTCCAGAGGTCTCAGGATGGAAAATGCTGTCCACACCCAAAGAAAGAACTATGGAAGTCGAATCGCTATCACTTATTTTTACCTTCTGTTGAGTTTTGTTTCATCTTTCTGATGGTTCCTCCTATTGGTTTTAATTTTTACTTACAACTTCACTAATGTAAAAATACGTTTAATGGGAATGTAAAGCCTGTATCAGATTGTGCGCCATCTTGGGGAGAGTGGGGGGGAGGAAGGGGGAGAAAAATTTTCAACTCAAAAGCATATGGAAGTGATTGTTAATAAATCAAAATAAAAATTAAATTAAATTAAATTAAATTAAAAGACAGGACAGGTCACTCTAATTGTTATTCCTCCTCCCCATCTGAAGGGGTCTCTGATTTATAACAATGAAAAACCAGTTTCTCAATATGAGAAAATTTAATAAGCCCCTCCTGGGTTTTACTGGCATTGCATAATTTTATAAGCTTCAGAAAAATCACGCGTTCTTCCTTACCTCCCGCCACTTCTCTGTAAACCTGTATAGTTCTTAGCCTTGATTTATATCTTCTCAGCATTCAACAAGTATGTGAGTGCCTACTATGTGCACCTTTCCTTTCCTATAGGAAATAGGACCTTGAGACCTAGAAAGCCAGAGGGTTCCAGGGCAAGAGCTGAGAACGTGCTATAGGGAAGGTAAGGTTCCCTGGAGGAAGTTCAGTCCTGTTTTATGGGGCATGAATGTTTGCTGCTTCCCCTAAGTTCTGCCCCTTCTCTGGAAGAGATACATATCAGATCTGAGATGAATTCAGATTGAATAAAAAAAGCAAACGAGACTGATTGTATCAAATAGACATTCTTGTGATGCACAGAGAGGGTGGAGGAAGGTGGAACTGGCTTATACTATTAAGCTCTAAGTTACAAATCCTTCCACCTCTGAAGCCACAGGTTCAGATCCTGCACCAAAGGTCATTTTGGTCCTAGAAGCTTCCTTCACTAAATAACTGCCACATCCAAGTGACAAATCATGAGCCATCAGAGAGCTTCCTCCAGCACAGATCTGACCATGCAACTTCTCTATTATATAAACTCCAGTGCTTCCTTATCACCTCCAGGATTCAATATAAAAAGACAGCACAGGTCTCCATTTGGAGTTCAAAGCCCTTCACAACGTACTCCTTCCTACCTTACCAGTGATCTTACACTTTACTGGCCTCCCAGCTATTCCATCAACAAGGCTCTCTATCGCTTGGCTCTGGGCATTTTCTTTGGCTGTTCCCTGTGCCTGGGACACCCCAACCCTTCCTGGCTTTAAGTCCCAACGAAAAATCCCATCTTCTAGAGGAAGCCTTTCCCAAACCCTCTTAATTCCAGTGCCTTGCCTCTGTTAATTATTTCCTACCTATCCTGTATATAGCTTGTTTGCATATATTTATTTGCATGTTGTCTCCCCCCATCAGACTGTGAGCAAGGATCATCTTTTGCCTTTCATTCTATCCCCAGAGCTTACTTACCACAGTGCCTCAACATATAGTAGGTGCTTAATAAATGTTTATTGACAGACCGGATCTGCAGTCTCACCCCATTGTCAAAGGGGCTGTCTTATACCTTTCTTTGTATCCCAGGCTCCTACTCTCTGCAAAGTGCACAGTGCCTGGCACATAGTAAACTCTTAACAAATGTTTACTGACCAACTGACAGCATCTGTCCTGGGGGCAGCTCATGGAAAACTGTTTGCTTCCTCTGCTACCGCCCCACTGTGTTCCACTCAGGTCCCCCTGGGCCATGGAAAACAGCTTATGGCAGGTACAGCTTCACAGTGTCCTAGCTTCCATCTGACCCTGTATTTTAGCTGCTTAGTTCATCAGGCTGCTACAAGAACAGGAGATTCCCCTCCACCCCACCCTGCTCCCACCCCCACAAAACTAGGGAACAGAGGCTTTTCAGTGAGATACTTGAGGGAAAAGTGACCAGCTGTCTTTGTGGGACTTGGAGTTACTTGCTCATTATCAGTCCAGCCTAAGCTCTTTTTTTCCTCTTCTTTTTTTTCTTAATTCTGAAGATGGGGGAGATGAAGAGGCTGTTCACAAGGGAGAGAAGAACAAGAGATCTATAACAGCAATATTCCAACAGGTGGGTCCTGAGGGATGATGGCTCCTGTGCCTAACAAGGAACCTTCTAGTCCTGCTCCTTTTACAAAAGGTAAAGAGTCAAAAGTCCCTAAAGTAAACAAGGCACTTTCCAGGGGCTCAGGTCACTCCCGATCATTCTCCAGTCTCCATAGGAAAAACACAAGCACAGTTTACCCTGAAAATGTCTGACTGTTCCCTGGAATCACACTAATGGGTGAGCATGCAAAGAACAGCTTAGAAAGTGACTCTAATCAATTCAGCATAACGTTTCAGAAAGAAAGACAGCATTAATCATGTATCTTTCCTCATACTATCCCACCCAGGTATCAACAAATTCAGTCTTCTCTCCCTCAATTTCACTCCTCTGAGCCACAAGGAAGGGGTGGGGGTGAAGACAGAAGCTATACTGAAGCCTCAAGTCTTCTAATAACAACTTCACACCCCAAGAGGCCTCTCCCTGGGTCCTTCACTGGGCCTACAACACCCTTAACTCTCAATCAACGTGGGAAAAGTACACAGGTGGTAGAAGGGTCAGCCTTCTTCTCTAGGGTCACATCTGATGTTTCACCAGGTCACTGGGTCCCACTGCTATTCACTGAAGGCTCTTGCTTCCTTGGCTTTAAAAAAAATAAGTTTCTGGGGTTTATACTAGTCCTGAAGAGCATGCATTCTACTGAATTAGATTAAAGCAAAGAAGAGGGACCAGAAAGGAGGCGAAGAAATGGGGAATAACCACTCACCAATGTTTACTTACTTTGAGGGGGAGGGGTAGGAAGAGTATCTATTTATTTCTCAAGGCAGTATCACGAAGGAACTGAGGAGAGAGCCGACCTTTCACCTGAAAGACTGTGCTGATAACATGTGCACGGTGAGTGGTAAGAAACGTTAAACGGACCAATAAAAAAAAACACTAAAAATTTAGTATCCACTGAGCATTTCATTACTGGTGGGAGAAAGTATAATATATATGTAGGTGGGGGGGGGCATGATGGAGGAAGGAGCTGACTTAGGGGAATACTGGTTGAAGCTCCAGAGGCAATTCAAACACCTCGTGCCACTTCTCTCCTTCTGCCATCCCAACATTAACTCCTTCAGCGCCAAAACTCAGTGCTTCCCCAAGCAGGTGAGCATTTTGCATATGGAAAGACTCCGTATCTGCCTTACAGAAAGGCTATAGGGCCATATTTAACACAAATATGCCGTTCAGAAAAATCCAGGACCTGGGGAATACTAACCCTTTCACCTACTGTAAAACCACTTGAAATCTGTCCCTGGGAGTCAATAAATTTTATCTCATTTTATTCTATTATCTTCCTTTTTTGTAGATGAAGAAACTGAAGCAGACAGAAGGAGTGAGTTGCCGGGGGGGGGGGGGGGGGGGGCAGAGCTAGCAAGTGTCTGGGGTTGGATTTGAACTCAGCTCTTCCTGACTTCAGTAAGTCCAACACTCTCTCCACTGCATTAAGCCCCATACAACCTGTAAACTACACCCTGGGGTGGGACTTTGGGGGGGGGATATGGAGGAGTGGAGAGAATGAGGGAGGGGCGTTTTAGGATGGTCTGGGAAGGTCAGTTTATCCCAGGGCAATGAGCTATCCTGTGGCCTGGCTGCGGGGCCAAAGTCCCACGCCTGGTCCTGTCCTCCCGGCAGGCTGGAGCCCTCTGGAGGAGAGTAAAGCACTCTGAGGTCTCGGGGACTGGAAGGCGCCCAAGGAAATGGTAAAAAGGAGGAGAGAGGGAATTGGGGGGTGGGAGGGGGAGGGGGAATCCTATGATTGGGATACCCTCCCTCCCCCGAGAGAAAGGGCTGAGAACCTGGGAAGTGGGGCACGGGTCCGAGAGTGAGTCCTTGCAAGAGGCAGAGAAGCATTCCAGGGGATAAGTGGGTCTCAGGTGGGGGATGCGCGTGGAGGCTGGAGATGACTGGTCCAGGGGAGGCATCAAGGTGGGCGGGAGGAGGAGGTCCTGGAGAAGGGGACCGGGGCGCGCTCGGGGTGGGGGGCTGTTCTCGGGGCAGAGGGCGGACCCCGGCCCGGGCTGGGAGCTCCCGGGGGGGGGGTGCGGCTCTCACCTGCGGACCAGCAGGAAGCTTATGACCGCCAGCAGCAGGAGGCTAAGTTTCCGGCGTTGGTCTCGCCGCCGGCTGGAGCTGCTCCACATCTTGGGCGGCCGCGGCGGCGGCGGCGGCGGCGGCGGCGGCGGTTGCTGCTCCTATCAGGGATCACGGTCACGATCCCCGGTCCGGCTCCGACTCCGGCTCCGGTTCCGGGTCCGGCTCCGACTCCCGCTCCGGCTCCAGATAGCAGCCAGCCAGCCGGAGCCCGTTCCTAGGAAACCACCCCTCCCCGGCCCGCCCCTTTGGCCGCTCTGACTCGCTAGGTCCTGCCCAGTCGCGCCCCTTATTGGCCCCACCCCCCGCGGCCTCACTTGGCCAAGCTCCCAGACTGAAGGGGTGGAAAGGGCGGCCCCCGACGCCCTGGGCTCTTTGTGGCTGAGAGATGAGAGAGAGAAGACCCGGCCTGCTCGGGTTCGGATTGTGAGACCGAAAGAGGCTGGGGGCTTTTCCGCCTCCCTCTGCCTCCCAGGCGAGGCGAGGCTCTGAAGTGGAGGCCCTGGGGCGCTGCCTGCCATCCAGTCTACCTCTGCATTGCCCGTGCTTGCAGTGCGCAGACCCTGCGGGTCCCAGAAGTGAAAGATCTGGGCAAGGCAAAGCCCAAAGCTGACGCCAACGGGAACAGAGTCAAATGCACGGGGTGAATGCCAGCAAACGCGCAGACACATCTGAGCTGGCACATTCTCCAAAATCCCCCCCTTTTGCAGAAGAAAAATACATTTTAATTACCGTGCCAACCTTGTGGGCATTCTTTCCACCAAGACAAGCCCACAACCAGTTAAAATTTAGTAGAAGTTTTCATGAGGCCAAATGCCACCTCAGACTCTTACCAGTCGAATGACCCTAGGACAATCACTTAACCTCTCTCAGCCTCAGTTTCCTCATCTATAAAATGGGGATAATAATGGTGCCTACCTCCCCGGGTTGTTGTGAGGAGCAAATCAGATAACCTATGAAAAAATGTTTTGCAAACTTCAAAGCATTATATAAATGCTAGCTATATTATAATTATTATAAATTGCTGTGCACAAAAAATAGCCCCCTGTTCTGGTGATAAACCTCTCCACACTTAGGTCATAAGGTCATAGCTTCAGAGCTGGAAAGGACCTTCAAGGGCCATCTGACTCACCTCCACCCCTTCAATTTACAGGGAAGGAAACAGAATGAAAGAGGTTAAACAACTTGCACATTTAGTGAGCATCAGAGGTGAGATTTGACCCAGAACTTCTGATTCCAGAACCAGTATACCTACCACTGTACCAAGTCATTATCCTGGATGGCCAGATTTAAAACAAAGTATTGATACCTTTGTAGGAACTAAAGATAATAATAGCTAGAATATATATGACATCTAAGAGCTTGACAAAAATCTCCTCTCCCTGGGAGGTGTTTTTACAGTTGTAGAAACAAAGATAAGCAGATTAAGTGACTTGCTCAAGGTCACACAGTTAATGTCCAGCTAACTTTGTACTCAGATCTTCCTGACTCCAGGCCCAGTGCTCTATCCACTGATGTGCCTACCAGAGTTTGCTTTTGGTAAGCCTACAAGAACTCAAGGTCACCTCTACCACCTGGTGAAGCATCATCTTTTGATCATAGTTGCTTGTAAATGGAACAAATAGATTAAAGGATGTTAGATTTAGAGGTGGAAGCAATCTTAGTTACATCTAGTCCAACGTTCTCATTTTACAGATGGCCTGGCAGAGCCCAATACAGCTTTGACAGAGTCAGAATTTGAACCCAGGTCCTCTGATTCTAGGTCCCGTACTCTTTCCACAGTAGCACACTTGCTAAATCCTCACACCAGTGAGGAACCTGGGATTAAGGGACTGGCAAAATGCATTCCCAAAACCTCTCTGGAGCACACTAAACTGTGTCTGAACTTCAAGAATTTCCAGGAAAATCTTCATTTTGGGGGGGGAGTGGAGGGTAGCATCGATAGCAGCAGGACCACAGAAAATGCCACCCCTCATTTTACTTTGCTTTAAATCCATTTGTCCTTCTGTTGTATAAAGTGCTGAGTGTGCAAGCCTATTTCTGAGCCTAATGAGGCCTTCCTCCTTAGGAGCCAGACTGGTCGGCGATTTTTAGCTGCCTCTCTCAAGCACTGGGCAAATATTTAGTCCAGTTTAATGATAAACAAGCAAATGCCAAACCAAAAAAAAAATGATAAAGTAAAACCAATCTGTTATGTTGGTCTTTGTTTCCATTTTCTATCCCTGCCTCACCACTCCTGAAGGGGAAGGGAAATACCAAAATAAAAATGGGATAGCATGGGCATAATGTCTTCATCCTTATGACATTAACAAATTATTTGAAAGACCATCAGCTCAAAAAAAAAAACTTGAGACAAAAACAAGAATACTAGAAGGACTTTGTAACAGGGCCTGTAGGAAGCCTGAACTGCTTAGTCTACTTCTGTCCTTAATGTTTTTACTAAGGCAAAGGGGAGGAGAAAAAATTTTTAAAAAGCAGACTCTTTAAAAACGGCTGACAGCTTAATTCTGCTCCCTGTTCTCCACTTCTGTGTTTTATCTGGGCATCAATTTTCCTGAGCATCTTTGGCTTCTGTCCTTTCCCAATGGGTCTAGTAGAGGGTTTTGTCACTGATTAGGAAGCACTCATGGGTAACAAAGAACTTGTCCATGAAGCAAATGGCCTCAAAGCCTTCCCAGTCCATCTGCAAGGCTGGTAGTAAGGTATGGGCCATTGGCCATGAGTTAACCAGCCAGTCAGGTTACCATGCCAGTCAGTTTGAACTAGCACCCTACGTAAAAAATTAGGAACTTCTGCAAGATTGCCCTGGAGGCAGGTAAGGCCCTTTCTAATTTAATGAAGGGAAAATGCCAAACTTTTAAAATTCTGTGCAAAACTGAGGTAGTTTTGGTACTCCTGCTCCTGGATTTAATTCTTGGAAAAAAGGAAAAATAAAGAAAATGATGATTTTGATTCAATCTCACGAGGGGAGAAAAACTGAAGGTACCTTAATGTCTCACATGGCGTGAGTGCTTTCCCTGATAACAGGGGGAAATGCCCTAGAAATAAGGGCAGAAGCAAAGGAAGAACGATGTAACTGGGGTATAGTGAACTCAGGGAGTGAAAAGAAAGGCCAGGAGAAGCTGGAGATGATTGCGAATTAGAAAGAATAGAACAACACAGCATGGTACAGTGGACAGAACCTTGGATTCGAATCCTGCCTCAGCCGTTTTCTTATCTGTGGGATCTTGAGCATCTCTGGGCCTCAGTTTCCTCATCTATAAAATGAAGGTGCTGGATGTGATGCCTCTAAAGTCCTTTCCAGTCCTCAACCTGTCATCAACCAGTAAACATTTATTAAGTACCCTTTCTGTCCCAGGCCCTGCACTAAGTGCTGGGGATGGACACATAGGCAAAAGTCAATTAGCCAGTACCTTCATGGAGGCTATGGGGGGGGGGTTCCTTTTTTTTTTTGAGACAATTAAGTGACTTGCCCAGGGTCACACAGCTAGTAAGATTCTGAGGCCAAATTTTAACTCCAGTCCTCCTGACTCCAGGGCCTGTGCTCTTACTGTACCACCTACCTTCCCCACTAACCTGTTTTTAAAAGGAAAGATAATAGGCACAGATACAGAGGGTTTCAAAAATCCTGATACAGTTCTAAACTACCAAGATCACTAAAGCTCAACACGGCACTGAGATTTTGGGAACACCTTGCAGAAATGTAGCAGGCTCTAAGACCAGTTCCTCTGACGACCAGGTCCTGGCTGCCTGAATGCATGGAAAATGTAGCATCAAGGAAACAGTAGTATTCTTCTCACTCTGGAAGAAATAGGGAAGGGAAGAGAAGAGGGTGGGGAGGAGAGGAATAGCAATGGTGCTGTGTGTAGAGCCCCGGAGGTCCAACTCTGCCCACTGGGGAGCATACAGGGTGTGTCTAATTATTAGGGAAATTTCTCCTGGCCAAGAATTGAAGTGGCTAGTGAAATGCCAAGTCCTCCTTCCCCCTTCCCTCCTCCCTTTCCATCCAAAAAGACAGATGTTTAAAACCAGACTTTTCTGTTCTTCTAGGTTGATTTTTTGCTGGTTTAAATATTACTTTAAAGCCTGCTTTCTCAAAATAATAAGATTTGCTTTGAAATGGTACAGGTCCTTATTCAATAGCAATGGGGATGGCGAAAGACGTTAACATAGTAACTGAGGTCGGTATGTTATACCGAGAAATTAGCGAGTTGACCACCCAGGCTAATTTTAAATTGTGGACTTTATTAGCGCGTGGCTGCCAGGGGTATTCACATCCAAATCGAGCAGCCCCCATCAGGGATTGAGCTAGGGTTTATATAGGGAGTATACAGGACAGGGAGGGGGATGGATCTTTGAAGTCTGGCAAGAAGAAGAGGTTTTTGGGGGCTGGTCAAGGACACCCCTCTCCCTCTGTGTAGATATGATAATGCTCTGCAAACTTTCTTACAATGGAGGCTTCCAGAGATATGATCTGAGGGCTAGGGCCTGAGCAGCCAGATAAGGGTCTTGCTGACGCCCATGCATGAATACTGCTAGGCACAGCGTCCTTAGGCTGGGGAGTGGTTGTTAGAGATAGTGTTTCTGAGACTAGGGAGGCATTTTGGGGGTAAAAGTATAAGCACAAGCATCCAAGCACCCCATCATTACAGGTCAGGGATCACACAAACCAGACCAGGTGTCCTGGTTTCTGGTATAAACATAATTATCTAAAGACATTGTATTGCAAGTTTTCTTATCCATTTGCTTTGGAGGTATGGGCTGTGCTTAAGCTATGCAGGAGTACATTTCACTATTGTTTAGATTTAGGAGGAAAGAGGTCTGGGGCAAGATTAAGCAGCAACTTCTGCTTTCCATGGCCTAAAGGGCCCTACTACCTAAATGGTAAAATAATGTTCTGCATTACAGGTAGAGAGAGGCACTGAAGTCCAACCCATCCAGTTAAAACTGGAGTGATGGTGATGGTTTTTCTCCTAGGTAGGGGCTCCTCAATATGAGAGAGAATCTTATGGCCTTGACTTAATTGATTTTGGATACGCTTCCCAAAAGGAAGAACAAATCTGGATCTGAGGATTTCCTCCTGCCCCTCAGGCTAAAGGGAACTGGTTTCCATTACAATGGGGGGGGGGGAGTCTGGGAGAGGAGGAGCATGTAATTGAACTTTGCAGTCCTTCCCATTGTTTTC